TTTTAAAATATTTTTACCGAGCGTATGCTTTGGCTGGACTCCCCTCCCCTATTGAAGTCTTCGTGGCTTTAAAACAGGCCCCAGTTTGACATTATAAATTTTGGTATTTTGGTAAATTCTGGGAGAAGTACTTAAATGCTCCAAATAATGACGAGGTCGAAGAAAAATAAGTAAAACATAAAGCATTTATTTTTTTAATTACAATTTCATACATTTTTGTTCCGTTGAAAATGAATACCGTTTGACAATAATATACTTTTCCTTTTGAGGTTTAAAACTATGGAATGACTGTGTCCCTGAAATTTGGTTCACACGTATTTAACGGTTTTACAATTGTCTTTCCATTTTATTGTAATCGAATTCCGAAAAAAAACTGATAGTGTATTTTTGAATCTGGCTTAGAAATAGCCCATGAATAAAGTTCTTGGCCCGTTGTTATATGGTGGCCTTGCAAACTTCTCCCAAAGCATCACAAGGCCCCTTTCCATAACAAGTTGCGAAAAAATTCCACTCGGCACTCGTTCGATTCTTCGTCTTTAAAATAAATTGCAATTATGCAATTTTCAGATGCGATCGTAGTGAACTTACGAGCCAACTATCGAGGGGTGGTGGTGTACTAATCGCCGTCAAAACGAGTCATCAGTGCTGCGCAGTATCAGTGGCCGACTGTGAGCAGCTTGAGCAGACCGTTGTGCGGTTACAACTAAAAAACCGTTCGGTATACGTCTTTGGAATATACCTTCGACCAAATTCCAGTCCTGAAATGTACTCTGCTCACGCCGACGCAATCCGAAAGGTTTGCGATAAACTTCAAGACGATGACGTTGTTCTAGCGTTAGGCGACTATAATCTTCCCGGACTCTGCTGGCGCTTCGATGGCGATATCAATGGTCATTTACCATCAAACGCCTCAACAGAACAAGAACTTGCGCTTACCGAGCCGATATTTGCATGGGGTTTGGTTCAGATCAACTCTTTAGTGAACGTCAATGGCAGGACTCTCGATCTTGCATTCGCTAACGCTCCGGACTATATTGAGCTAATTGACCCTCCAGTTCCGCTCCTGAAAATTGACCCCCATCACAAGCCATTTCTCCTACGACTCGATACTCATTACACTACGAGGAATCATGCCAGCGCTCAAATGGGTGTAACCTATCTAGACTTCAGAAGATGTGACGTAAACCTAGTGAATAACGAACTTTCGGCTGTTGATTGGCTCTCACTGTTGAATCGACCCTCGATAGACGAAACTGTGTCCGTTTTCTATGATAAACTGCACATGATCTTTGACAAGGTTGTTCCTCGCCGTCACTGCACTTCCAACGCGGTAAACAGAAAACCCTGGTGGACAGGGGAATTACGTCAACAACGCAACAGGCTTCGTAAGGCTCGTAATCGTTTTTTCAGTGTGAGATCAGACGAGAACAAGAACAACCTCCGTAACATCGAAAGCAGCTACAACGAACTCCTTGCATCGACCTATGAAGCATAAGTCAACAATCTCCAGTCAAACTTGAAGCAGAACCCCGCATCGTTCTGGAAGTTCGTCAGGGACAGCAAAGCAAACAAACGCATTCCCTGCAATGTCGAATATGAAGGAGTGACAGCTGCAACACCTAGTGAATCTGCAACTCTATTCGCTGACTTTCTCAAAAGTGTGTTCAGTACTTCTCCACCGATTCCTCTTCCCCGGAAGTTTCCAGCGAGTGCCATCGTACGACGTGAACCTGCCTACTGTATGTATCTCTCCAGAGGAGGTACTGAAATTATTGAACGACCTGGATGTTTCGAAGGGAGCAGGTGTAGACGGATTGCCTCCTTCCATTATCAAAGCTTGTGCATTAAAACTGGTGACGCCCGTAACCTTGATATTTAACCAATCGCTATCAAAAGGTGAATTTCCAACCATGTGGAAAACTGCTAAAATGGTGCCAATCCACAAAACTGGCAATCTAAATCGAGTAGAAAATTACAGAGGCATTTCGATACTTTGCTGCCTCGGTAAGGTTTTCGAGAAACTGGTGCACCAGTTTTTGTACAATGCATCTAGACCGTTAATATGCGAGTTCCAGCATGGTTTCGTGGAACGGCGATCAACAACGACCAATTTGATGTGCTACACAAACACTCTGTTCCACGAAGTCGAGGCTCGTAGTCAGGTTGACTCAGTCTACGTGGACGTGGACGAGCATTTGACACCGTACCACACATCCATATCACTGAGAAACTTCTGCACATGGGCTTCCCGATTTGGATCATTGAGTGGCTCAAATCTTATCTAACAAATCGCAAAGCTTTTGTTCAAATCGAGACTGAAGAGTCATCAGTTTTCGACGTAACCTCTGGAGTACCTCAAGGAAGTGTGCTAGGACCACTTATTTTCATTCTGTACATCAATGACCTTGGTCTCCGCTTATCGTCTGGCAAATCTTTCTTCGCAGACGATTTTAAACTATTCAGGGTAATTGCATCGGTCTTGGACTGTGCTGCCATACAAAACGACATTGACGAATTGTTGAAATGGTGCGAAGAGAACGGGATGAACGTTAACATAAAAAAATGTAAAGCGATTTCATTTACACGTTGCCGCACTGTGTTGAAATACAGCTATAAGATCGGGCCCTCTACCCTGGAACGTGTAGATTCTATTCGTGACTTAGGTGTTATATTGGACAGCAAACTGAGATTCAACGAACAAATCTCTACAACAGCTGCAAAGGCCTTTGCTATCCTAGGATACATTCGACGCCATGCAGCCTTCATCACCGACGCTTATGCTTTGAAGGCGTTATTTTGCTCATTGGTACGAAGCATACTTGAATACGCCGCACCTGTTTGGACACCGTATCAATCTACACTAGCCAGCAAATTAGAACGAGTTCAGAAATACTTCGTTCGGTTTGCTCTCCGCCACCTACCATGGAACAATGAAACACACCTGCCTCCATATACCTCACGCTGCTTATTACTTGACTTGGAAACGCTGTCTGCCAGACGCCTGAAATTGCAGCGTATCTTCATCTTCGACATTCTTACGGATCGCATCGACTGCCCTGCGCTGCGTCAGCTTGTCAACTTCAACGCTCCATCTCGTTCACTTCGAACTCACGCTGCGCTTTACGTACCTCATCACAGAACAAGCTATGGACATAACAACCCTCTGAGTACCTGTATACGTGCTTTCAACACTGTTTATGATCAGTTTGACTTTAACATTAGCAAAAATGTGTTTAGTACTAGAATTAGAAATTTAGATTAAGTTGCAGTCTGAACGAGTATATCGAAGACGAAGGAATAAATAAATAAATAAATAAATAAAAATAAATAGCATGAAAGCCTTGAACTGCATCATGCACAACGAAAGAATAATTCTCCGAAAAATCACAGATTATGATGCATTCTGTAGCTTTCAAATTGATTTTGACGTGTTTCAAGTAATTTGCCTGTTGCTCAGCTATAAAGTTATGCGGCAATAAATTGAATAATTTTTCTAAAAAAGTATCAATAAATTCCTGTGCGTCCATTTCAACTAAGTCCATAATGCATCTCTCTATTTGACGCCATTGTTTGAATTGTATTGATTCAACATGTCCGTTACTAAGAATAGTCATTAGTTCTGTGGCCAAAGTTTGCGTTTCTGAACAATTTTCGCAACACTGCAGCCAGCATTGTTCACTTGGATTTTGACAAATTATTTTTGTAAACAAATCGTGATAAGAATCAACACCATCTGGGAGTGATTGTCTGCTTTGTAGTGTTTTAAAAATAAGTTAACGTTCTGATGATATATACAAACGCATACGGTATGCGTGCCACTTGTCCCTGCCAAAATGCAGTGTTTCGGACGGTTACTGGCGAGCATGGAAAATCCTATTTTAATATCAGGATATGTTATTGTTAAAGATGGAGTATGCCTCCTGCAAGTTACACAAAACTAATCTTCTTTTTACGTTGATTCCGCCTTCATCTTTTTTAGATATTAAATAATCTCTTTTCCCCGGACAAACACGACTTATATCGTCACTATTGTAAAAATCACGAACAAGCATTATCGTTTGTTCTCCTAATGAAGCTCTGCTTAACCTCTTTACAGGCACCGACATTATTCCTTTCTCTTGCTGCAGTGCTTTTGCTTGGTTGGCCATATGTTGGGAAACATTGAACTCCTTCATAATTCTATACGTAGACCAACTTTTGGGAAGTGTGGTTAAAATCCTGTATTGCTCATTGCTGACTCTTGTTTCTTTATATTTATCCTTAAGTTGTATAAGGAATCAATTTTCGTCCGACAAAGGTGCGTTTTAGATAGTAACGATCGATTCAGAACTGGTTGTTTCCACTGACTCTGAAAATAAATATAAAAAATGATTGATTATTAGAAAGAAAGAAACATACAAATGATTTATTTTTTATTATTTACCTTGGCAGGGAAAAGGAACCATTCTGGACGGTCCCTCAACGACAATCGATTCAATACTGGTTGCCGAGAATTATAAGGATAGTTCAAAAGAAATTGTTAGGCAATTATTAGGAGTGTTTCAAGGGAATTCCGAGAAGAGTTCCTAGAGACCTTGGAAGAGCATTCACATTGGCGTTGCATATGGGGGTGCCTAGGATGCTTGCTCCCCTCTAGAATTATCTAGGTCCCTTCCAGAATAATCGAGGTCTCCCTCCAGAATGTTTTGAAGATATATATCATTTAAATTGTCGGTTTCGGAATCACAAAAAAAAATATCTGAAGGTGGCTTGGGTCATTTGTAGTCTAGATGAGGATAGATGATTGATTTGTATAGTTGTATTTTACTGGCAATAGTTAAATCTGGCAATAGTTTTCAGTCGACATAGAATTCCATGCTTCTTGGCTATTTTCTTGATTACACAGTCCATGTGAGAGTTGAATTTAAGTCATCAATACTCACACCAAGATATTTAATCTCCCCCAACGCAATCAATAGCCTTATTACAAAAGAGACGTTCTCATTTACTCGATTCCGCGAAATTACCATAAATTTAGTTTTACTTGTATTCAATTTCAACTGCTTATAATTCAACCATCTACACACCAAAAAATTCTGAATTTTACTGGCGATGTAAACATCCATGCATGCAAACATTCATACATGTAAATTTCCTTTTCACGTAAACTAGCAGCTTCCAAGAAATGTTGCAAACAAAAGTGGACAGTTGCATACAATATGGGGAATATTCCATGATATGTCTCATAAATTTACACGATCTATAATCTAAACCTGTATGATTTATGACGCTCCATTTATGTGCATCATAGTAACGGAAATTTACACTACTTTTTTTAGTTGTGTACTTAGAAAACGCAAATCATCATTCAAGTGTAAAACGGCATCATCTAAGTCCTTAACTGCAATGAATAACACAGTATCATCTGCAAAAAGATTAATGTCGCAAAATCGTAAAACACGTCGCAAGTCATTAATATACATAATAAATAACAGGGGCCTTAATACACTTCCCTGCCGCACTCCAAGGTTATTTCCCACGGGACTGCAAACAGAATCATTAAAAGCAGTCCGTTGAGTTTTGTCAGACAAATAGCTTTCAAACCATTTATATACAGTACTCGTAATTCCAAAGCGCTTGATTGATCTTAACAATAAGATCGCGTTTTAGATCCAACAAAACAGCAAGAATTGTATCTTTACACTCCAAGTTATTTTTTCACTTCGCTAATTCAAAATTCATCGCGGTTTCACAAGAATGACCTTCCCGATATCCTGATTGTTCTGGTATCAACAAACTATTACTATTTACATACTCCAACAGCTGGTTTTTAACAACAAGTTCTAAAAATTTCTCTAATGTGTGCAACATGTTGATGGGACGAAACTCTTCGGCTTTAATCGTTCCAGCAACTTTTTCAATAGGAACCACTAAGGATTCCTTCCAAATTTGTGGCACATGTCCATTTTGCAATGATTCATTAATAAGGTCCAGCAAGATGTGGCCAATGCCATGAAAGCAATCTTGAATAACTCTAGCATTAATATTATCTACCCCAGCCAATAGGAAACTATTGAAAAACAAATTACTCCAAGTTCATCTAATGTTATTGGGTGAAAACCTTCAAATCTACAACTACTATTAACTGGCTGTTTTATTTCGTCAGGTTCATCGACCAATTTAAACTTAGATGCAGATGTTCTGACTGTTCTAATGTGCCATTAAAAGTTATGGACAATCTTCCTTTGTAAATATTCACAACGACTTTTCTTTATCGATTGTGAATACTTATTACGCGCATTTTTGTACCTACTCCAATGATTGTCATTATTTGATCTGCAAAACTTTTTGTACCATTTGTCCCTTTTCCGTTTAAGGCGCAAAAGATCCAAATTGTACCAAATCGAGTCTTTCAAAGAAACAAACTTTTGCTCAACTAGTTAATTGGTACACGTTTTCAAAGCGTTATTAAGAACAACTGTAGATTCATCTAATTTCCTGGTCGCGAATGGAAAGCCTACGCTCCTCTCAACAAGACTGTCAGCCTGTTTCGAATATTTCCTCCAGCACTTCAATTTTACTAGTTCATCGTTGTTATTGATATTATCTACTACATTAATCACTAAGGACTCATGATCGGTTATTTTCAATTCAGTATCCGTAACTGAACAAATGGAATAAACATTGGAATAAACGTGGTCAATTAAAGTTCTACTGTACCTGTAAATATGCGTATACTCATTTACCGTTTACATTAAATTGAAAAACTCAGCTAAACGCTTCAAATGATTCGAATTATCGTTATCACGTCTATTAATATTAAAATCACCAGCCATGAAAAAATTAAATGATCTCTGGGGGAATTCAAGGATGATAATTTAAGGTATATTTATGAACATAATTGGATAAGAACTCCAAGGAAATTCTGACGAAAATTTTGAAAAAATTGGGTCGAATAATTCAAGGAGGCGTTAATAAAAACTTTGTAGATAAATAACTTTGCAAATTTTTGCAGGAATTTTTAAAAAATCGAAGATAATTGTAAAATTAATGCCAAGATTTCTTTGGTGAGAAGCATTAATGTTTTTTCCTTGATTTGTTTTCCGTCGAATGAACCGTGGACCAACGGCTTTACTTCCCTTCCGAAGGAAGGCGTGATCAGAGATGTTATGCCTCAGAAAATCCCGGCGGCACTGACTAGGATTGAACCCAGGCCTGCTGGGGTGAGAGCTTACCACTACACCACCGGCGCCGCTAATATTTAGAGTGTTCTGCAGCGAAATTCTATAATTGTGGAGGGGAAAAT